GAGGGACGTTTTAAAAAATTGTTCCCTTGAAACATTAGTGTTGTTTCCTTCAGTCCATGTCTCCTCTGTTCCCTCATTAATGTGTTGAATAATTGGTGCCCTCAAAAGGAGAACATAAGTCCTTCAAATTCTAGACGATGAGTCCTTCAATCTGAGCCGGTCTCATCCCGGGGCGTCAAATACCGAACCTTTGAGAAAGCCTGACAAACCGTCGGTATTTCACGCACAAGGTACCCTTCAGGGCATTCAAGTAAGTCCAATTCAACCCATCTGCCGTCCCACTATGTACCTATTTTAACCCAAAACACAATGTTTTCCTAAACCTAACCAAACTGCATATAAACCACATATTAAAAAGGCCTTTCATACGGACGCTGAAGGGTACCTTGTGCGTCACCAATGCTTTGCCAGGCTTTCTGAAAGCGTCGATATTTGACGCCCTGAGAAGAGAACGAGTTGTGAGTCCACATGTCGTTGTCCCCTCCACACTCTCCCTATGGACCAACTGGATTTAATCATGTTTCAGCTGGATCCTAGATTGTAAGGCCAAAGTACTTGGTCTGGGTCACCATACACTGATGACCATACACTTTTTTAGACCACTGCGTTCTTTTGTGTTCGACCCTTTCCTGTTTCAACACAACTCAAAGCAGCTCCTAAGAGAAATGCTTTTCCCAGTTTGGTGTGGAAGAACATGACTGGCCTACAGAGTCCCGACCTCAACCCCATCCAACATTAGCCAGACTTGGTCACCAACATCAGTGCTGGACCTCACTAATGGTCTGGTGTCTGAATGGGAGCAACATGTTGAACTGGAAAGACTGAAACCAGCAGAGTGGAGGCTGTGGAAGCAGCACTTTAATGAACATGGAGTCACATATGGAGGGAAAGTTCAGCCGTCCACGTACTTCGATTAGGTGTCCACATACTTTTGAATATTCCGGGTTTTGGCCGTTAATGTTGAGCTGTAATTTTTTAAACCATAAAAGCTTGGACTTGCAGATCAGAAAAAGACATGCAGACGTCTCTTGGTTGATTGTTTTTTCATCTGTTAGACTTTTTCATTTTCACAAGTGAACATTTTTTATATTTTCTGGGTACATGGAGTGCGTTTACATTTGCGCAAGTATCTTTTTGTGTTTAGGTTTTCGGAGTATAGTGATTACGTGTTGCATACGTAAACATCCTGGTTTCTAAAATCTGGAATACGCTGATGGAAAAAAAGGAAACTGTGGCATGTAAACGGCTGATTCTGGTTTCTGAAACCTGGAGTACTCAGACAGAAACCAGGATACTGAGGCAAGTGAACGACTGAACCCGGTTTCTGAAACCTGAGATTGTGAGAAATGATGACCTGCAGAGAGACCTGGATGCAGTTATGATCATGTATACAGCGATAGAAATAACCAGGTTTGATAAGATCCAAACCAGGATACTAGTGTGCATAAAAACATACTTATACATTTAACCTGCAGGAAATGCCTGCTGTGAATTGAAAGATCGTCAGGTAAATGCTCTTAAAACAAGGAAACAGGTTTTATGTGATCTTAAAAACGTTCACTTTTCAACCAAAGTTAGCTCACAAACATAGTCACCTTCAAATCAACAAACCTATTGTTATTCAGATACACCAATTATTAATATAAGGGAACAAAATGACTAAATAAGGGAGCGATTTAGCAAAACTTTTCCTCCAGAGCGTCCCTGCTCTCAACACTTCATTCATTCATTCGGACCCAACCGAACTTCGGTGTCTTCAAGCTTCAGGAAACATCCCAACTTTTCTTTTCTTACCTTTGTAAGATGCACTGGAATGCATTGCTGTAATCTTGTGTTTGTATTTTGTATCCTTTAGATAAACTCTATTTAAATGATCTGAAACTTCTATCCAATATGTGAATTGTAATAAAGACAGAAGTTGAAATGATTTTGTTTTGCTTGATGTGCTGGCTCCCAGTTTTTGGGGAGAGGTCGCGGGTATGGTGGGAAGATTTCTTGGAATGTCGTCAGGTTTCAACTGACGAAACATCACTCCACCGGTAAGAAACTGATTAATCACCGGAAGGCTGTGATGTCGACGGATTTATTTCAGTTTCATGGAGAAAAAAGTGAGGTGGTAGGAAATACGAGTGACCCTGAGTGGACCTAAAAACTAGGGTCTTTACAGGAAAAGTCTTCAGTTTCACATGTTGCAGCCACATTCAGGGTTTAAGTAGCAGGATACATAGGAAATGTGTGTAACTATGTCCAAATAGTGGTTGGGATAAACTACCTAATTAAAAATGTGAAATTTCAGGGGGGGTATTGATGGTGCTACAAAGCAGCTTCATGGTTCATCACAGTGAATAAAAGGTTTAAAAGCAGCCTTTTGTTCAGCCAGTCTGGTGAGGTGACGGTCACACGGGTGAAGATCACATGATTCTCACAGCTCTGCACTGACGAGCTGATCCTACCAAAACCACAATGTAAAGCTATTCTGTCAAAGGCAAGGCAAGTTTATTTGTATAGTGCACTTCAACAACAATGCAATTTAAAGTGCTTTACATAAACAATATAAAAAAGAGTAAGAAGATAAAATGGAGTAAAAGTTAGTGTAAGATATCCAAAGTCTTTGATTTGATTTAATTAAAGGCAGCGGTGAAAAGAAAAGTCTACAGTCTTGATTTAAAGACAGACCTGCAGTTTTCTGGGTGTTTGTTCCAGATATATGGAGCATAAAATCGCTGAACGCTGCGTCTCCAGGTTTAGTTTGGACTCTGGAGCAGACCTGATCCCAGACGACCTGAGAGGTCTGGATGGTTCATAACGAAGCAGAAGATCAGAAATGTCTTTTGGCCCTAAACTATTCAGTGCTTTACAAAATAACAGCAGGATTTTGAAATCAGTTCTCTGACAGACAGGAAGCCAATGTAAAGACCTGAGAACTGGAGTGATGTGATCCACCTTTTTGGTCTTAGTGAGGACTCGAGCAGCAGCGTTCTGAATCAGCTGCAGCTGTCTGATGGATTTCTGAGGGAGCCTGTAAGGACACTGTTACAGTAGTCGAGTCGACTGAAGATAAATGCATGGATAAGCTTTTCCAGGTCCTGCTGAGACATAAGTCCTTTAATCCTTGGTATATTCTTCAGGTGATAGTAGGCTGATTTGTAATTGTCTTAATGTGGCTCCTCAAATTCAGGTCTGAGTCCATGACTACACCAAGATTTCTGGCTTGGTTTGTGGTTTTTGACATTATCGACTGAAGCTATTCATTCTTTCTCAGCAAAAACAATGACTTCAGTTTTATCTTTGTTTAACTGAAGAATATTCCAGCACATCCAATCATTGATTTGTTCATTGCAGTTACTCAGTGCTTGTATGGGATCATAGTCCCCTGGTGAAATGGTTATGTAAATCTGTGTGTTGTCTGCAAAGTAACATATTCAGCTGATCCAGAATGCTGCAGCACGTGTTCTGACAGGAACCAGGAAAAGAGATCATATTTCTCCTGTTTTAGCTTCTCTGCATTGGCTTCCAGTAAAATCCAGAATAGAATTTAAAATCATTCTTCTTACCTACAAAGCTCTTAATGGTCAGGCACCATCTTATCTTAAAGAGCTCATAGTACCTTACTACCCCACCAGAGCACTGCGCTCCCAGAATGCAGGGTTACTTGTGGTTCCTAGAGTCTCCAAAAGTAGACTAGGAGCCAGAGCGTTCAGCTATCAAGCTCCTCTCCTGTGGAACCAGGTTCCAGTTTGGGTTCAGGAGGCAGACACCATCTCCACATTTAAGAGTAGGCTTAAGACTTTCCTCTTTGATAAAGCTTATAGTTAGGGCTGGCTCAGGTGAGTCCTGAACCATCCCTTAGTTATGCTGCTATAGGCCTAGACTGCCGGGGGATTTCCCATGATGCACTGAGCTCCTCTCTCCTCTACTTTCTCTCCCTCTGTATGCAACCTCACCCAACAATGCATGTACAGTGTTCCAAAATCACATTAAATATTACTAATTGCAAATCTACCTCCATCTTTCCACAGTTTCTTGGTGTAATGCCAGAATAAATTGGCTATACTTTCTTCATGAAGATCACAGAAGGAGCACGTAATGTCAATATCGTTTTTTTCTTCCCCAGAAAGGATTTTACAGGATAGAAATGATTCAGAATCTTAAAGAAAATTTCCCTGATGTTATTCATAAACATTTGTGTGAAGAGTCCACACTTCCTTGCAGCACATATACTGAACATAAAAGTTCCAGAATGCACAAGCAGTTGGTGCTGAAAGTCCTTTTGAAACCAAGTGTGGATTTTTTTAATTGCTTTTTAAGACTGTAGTATCAAAAGAAAAGTTTTCCTTTCAAAGTTTCTGCAGGCTCAAGAGGGGTTAGAGGGGAGAGCATCAAAGACGATCACAATTTTATTGAGGAGTTACTCAATAAACAGATGTTTTTTATATAAAATGCAAATCCTATTATTATTATTATCATCATCATTATTATTATTATTATTCCAAATATATCATCTATGCGGTGAAAAATTAAAGACCAAGCAAGAAGTAATTTATGAAAATGAGATAACATTATCTAGTTGCATGAATGCAGAAACTTAAGTCCACCAATGTGTGAAAAAACTTGTTGGGGTCTACAGTTCTAGATCCAAGCAGGGATTTTTAAATTGATCCAATTAATTTCAAAAGTATTGTTCAAAGAATCAAAATCAAGAAACTTAAGTCTGCCCTTTTCAATGCAATTCACTACAGTCGACTTTTCTTTTCAAATAATGGGTTTTGTTCCACATAATCATTTTATAAAGCAGTAGCTTATTATTATTATAATTATAATAATATTAAAACTGTTCGCTGCAAAAAGAAAATCCGTTTCAATCTCAGGCAGCATTTGCGTCAGCATCTCTACAGCCAATCAGCGCACACTTCCTTTCACAGATCGACCAATCATCGCTGTCCACGAGGTACAGCTCCGGGGGGGCGGGCGCTGTGCGGCGCGACTGAGATTTTCCCTTCGACCAATTAGCCCTTGACAGTTGACAGGAAACGCAAAGTATTTGGCCTCGGTGACCAATCAGCGACAGCGGACGGTCGGTTTGTGCCGTCCGTTATCCCCACGTGACCCTCCTCAGTAGTTCCCAGGCGGTCACATCGGCAACCCGGAGGTGAGTAAAGAGAGCGATAAAAGTCACCTTTTAAAGCTGAAACACAGCGGGAGTTTAATGTTTTCTGAGAAATGTCGGTTTAAGTAAACTGCTTGTACACTTATAATTTAAAAAATGTGAGCTTGTAGTCGTTAAAAATGGAGCTCCGTGTCCTCAGCGTGCTGTTAGCATCGAGCTGAGTGGCTAACTGGGGGCTAATTAACTACAGGTGAATTCAGCTAGCCAGTTAGCCCGCTGCGTTTTCCTTTACTACGATTTCTTTTAGTCATACGTGACACATTTAGCGATTTACACCCGTGACACTACTTTTATCCTGGTGAACACAACCGTACTTGTGTTTATTACAAGACGGTAGAAGATAAGTTGGCTCAAGATGCTTCGCTGACACTTGCTCCGTAAGCTAAGCTAAGCTAAGCTAAGCTAGCTGTGCGTAGCGTAGAAAGGACACATGCAAGAGCTTGTCGGGCAGAGAAGAAGAAGAAGAAGAATGGGAGTTTAAATGTTATGACAAGAGATGTGAAGGACCTGCTGTGAAAAACAAAAGAGTGAACGAGTCTTGTGTCAGGGGTCAGTTAGCATGCTCATTACAAACCTATACGCTGTTCCATCCAAAGATTGTTCAAACACACAACTTTATTTATAATTGTATAGGAGAGCATAACATTTTTGGAGATACCTAAAATATGTCTGTCTAAAAAGGGTAAGGGGCTGCAAATAATTAGTTATCTTGCTTAATCATTCACTTCTAAATGATTTAAATCAGAGAAGCTGCTGTTGTTTTCAGTTTTCCTGTTTTCCTTTACTAATACATCATACTTTGAGTGCAGTGGTGAAACAAACAAGTACAGAATAAAAATATCAGATGCTAATGAAATTGTAGTTTTTAAGCGGTAATTAACGGTTAATAACATCTAAAATAAATCAAACGTCTCAGGACAGCAACATGATGGATTCAGCTGCTGGTTCTAAAGGATAACGAAGACAGCCGTCCCTCTTCCACTTTAAGCAGCTGGGAGTCCCTCAGATTTGTGGGCACATGAGTAGTTTAACTGTTGAATGTAAGCCTGCAGTTAGGTATTGATTTACGCATCAGCTAATGTGTTCATTTGGAGAATTGGTTTATTATCCTGAGGAGTCCCTTTATTTACAGACATGTTCTTCTTTGAGCCCAGAGGGTCCAAAACATTTTGTCCCCTCAAAATTTAATGTGAAATGTCCATAAGTTCCCAGACCCCAAACGTCGTCATTCAGTTTGACTTCTCAGTGCAACACCAGACCAGGCTTGACCAAAACCCCCCACGGGGTTCAGTCTGCAGCTGTGAGAAACAGGAAAGCAGCTAATCCTCACATTTAGGACGCTTGAAGCAGCCGTCCTGTCATTAATGAATTTCCCCTCGCCGAATCAATTGATCACTGAGTATTTCTGTTGATTCCAGGCACATTAATAAATGCGGCTGTAACGTATCAGCAACTTTGGTTCCTTGGCTAAACCTCAAGCCTTTAACTGAGCCAGAATCAAGTTTGTGCGTTGTAGTCATAGATGTAGCCGCCGTGACGAAGCCTTCCGTTTGGCCGTCGCCATCTTGGTTTTTTGGAGCCAGACGTGACGATATTTGGACGAGGGGGTGGAGCTAGCTAGCTTGGTTAGCGAGCTGCATCTGTAATTAGCTGTGATATTAGCTGGGATGCTAATTTTAGCTAGCGACAAACAGGCTAAAAACTAAATGTACTTCCTGAAAAATGAGCAGCCGACTCCTGATGAGCTTTTTCAGCGGCGCTGGTTAAACGTACACAGAGCAGCGGATACGAGTCGCCTCTATCCTGATTGACAGGTCGTCAGTCAGCTTGTAGCCCCGCCCTAAAGCCTCCCCTGCTTCCTGGTCTCTGTTCCTCTAAATGGGACCATAATTTACTAAATGAACATCATGCTGTGTTGAAGAAGACTTGAAACTAGCGAATGAGACCAGAAACTCATCAGGAAAGCGTTTACTGAGGGAATAAATCAGCTATAGACTCGCCCCCTGCTGGCCGTTGGAGAGAATGCAGGTTTAAGGCGCTTCAGCACTGGCTTCATGTCACCTGGAGTTTCCTGCTTGGTTATAACGAATCCACGTGTGGTTTGATTCATGAATGTTGGGATCCAGTCTGACAGGTGAAGCAGCCCGACCAGTTCAACCTGCTGGTTTCTTTTGGATGGGTGGTTAGGGTTACCCTTCAGATAGAAACCCAGTCCTTCAAATTACTGTTGGATTAAAGTTTTCCACCCAAGTTTCTGGAATTGGCTGGTTGATCAGCAGAGTGAAAGTTTGAACAGTAGATGGAAGAACATACGATCCAAAGTTTACTTTTAAAGTGGCTTTTAAGAAGATGCTTAGACCACAGTCTTTCAGTTGATTTTATTAAAAGAGGTTTAGGACTGCGGTCGCTGACGCCAAAATAAATCCACAAACTGAGTCACGTCGCTCTTTCTGCTTCCAGTTTGCTGAGGTCTGATGACGGAATCTCGGTTAACACGATAAAAATGCTGAGAACGTTTAACAATTTTTGCATAATAGTTATCGGTAAGTCATGACATGAGGTATTTTTTATTCTGAAGGTGCAGTTTTTAGAAAATGTATTCTGATGTTTTAGTTGTGTTGATGTTGACTTCAGAATAAAAACAACCACAGTATCAAGACATTTTAGAGACTTGGACTCATATTTGGGAACTTTAACCTGATAAAAGGACAGATGAGTGACAGATTCGTATTCAGTGTTTTGATTCCTGTATAAATGAAGAGGGCTCCTCAGTGATGCTGTTTAATCAGCAACCTGCCCGTCCTGTCTGCAGAGTTTACTGATGCCGGCGGATAAAGGCTGATTACACTGTTTAGTGAAGTGGAGCTGCTCACAATACTGGTTAGATGTCTGATAAATGTCTTTAAGTCAGAAATTTCTGCACAAAGTTAATGTTGTGTTGTTGTTTTTTTTTCCCATTCAACCAAATTTGTTAAAATAATCTGTGGTTAAAATTGTCCAACAGCACACCCGGACAAGAACTTTACCTTTTAATATAAATACAGAAGTGTACCTTTTTAATAATTAAACTGCCATAGAAAATATGGATCGGTACCTATTACTAAAAAACACTGATTATGTGACTGTCCTATTTGAGTAACATTTTTAATAATAAATGCATTTTATCTGCTTGTTCATCACATCCACACGACCGGTAATCGTCACAATGTTCTTCCATATCAAAAGCATGAACTATTATTAGTCATCCTAACATTTAACCTAGAAGGAATTAAGTTTCATATTTGATTTAGGATATTTGACCACACATCGGTGCCTATTTGTTATATATTAACATAACAATGGAACAGTTAGCCAAACAGTGAGTTTTGATAACTGATCATTTCACTTGGTAAATTGCAGTCATGTTAAATGTTTTCCTAGTTTCAGCATCTCCAGTGCGAGGGCTTTCTGGGGTTTAGACTGTGAAAATGTCTCTTTGGACTCCGGGACTTTCAAACCCAGTTAGAAACCAGTATGGTTATGAGACCGTGGATCAGAGGAGCAGCAGATGTCCTGCAGGCGAGGCGCACTCTAATATCAGATTAACTGACTGTAACTGTAACTCCAGCAGCTTCAGCTCGTTACTGAACTGATTAACGGAGGCTGTGTTTTATCAGCCAATCAGAGGGCGTCTGAAAGCTTAGTGCTTCTACAGGATGTAGGAAAACCAAAGTGTCGGTGTTCCTCTGAGCCGCACAGCTCCACCATTGTCCAAAAACTAATAAACACATCGGTGAGCCGGTGATGGGCGTGTCAAGCAAGAATTCTGTACTATTATCGCTGGAAGGTCTTTCACCTTTCTTCAAAGGTCCCAATGTCTCTTATACTCGAGCACATGCGGATTCATCCACCGCTGAAAATAGGCCCTCAACAAATGCTTTGATTAAAAACTAGACTTCCAGACACCGATATCGGGGGAAACCTGGGCTTTCGGTGTTGGCCGAGTACGATCCGATACAGTGTGAAATGAAGAAGCTGTCATTTATGTGTAAGGCTGCATCAGGCTTGTCATCGATACACGGTCCAGCTGTTTGAGTCGGTGCATCCCGGATAAAAACTACAGTGAGCAGCCTTTTTTTTTTTTTATCATGAAACTATATATCTGTGAGGTGACCAATGGGCTTGGACCTGGAAAAATATAAAATAACACCGTGCTGAAGCACATCATAGAAGAGCTGAAAGCTGGGACGGCTCGGTGTTCGCTCCAGTAACATCGGTTTGAGTCATATTTCTATTCTTTGCTCCTCTGCAACAGTAAACTGAATATATTTGGGTTGTGGGTTGTTTGCATTCATTCTGCATAATTCGGCTTAAGAGGTTTTATTACTTTTTCATTTGAATATTAGAAAATGAAATGTTGGATTTAGTTAGATTTGACAACGAGATGTTTCATAAAGCGTTGCATAGTAATTCATTGGAGAGGATTTTTCTCTAACAAGGGCAGAAACGTCTGTGTAGTGTTTGTGTGAACTGTAAAAATGTTCATTAGTTTCCCAAAGTCTTTAGGTTTCTTTTTCCGTGTTTCCCAAACATGATATCGTTATAAAGTTTAATAATGATCATAAAAACGGACGACAAAATAAAATCCTCACATTGGAGGAGCCCCAACCAGCAGATCTTTGTCAGTTTTGCTTGCAAAGTTATTCAATTAATTATCAGAAAAGTAAAATTTTCTGTTGATGGACTTTCCGCTCTATTTGAGTTTGTACAGTTTCCCTGTTGCTCCATTGTGGGAAAACCTCTGGTACATCTTCTGAATGTATTATCTCTGCAGCTCATTCCTGTAAATGCCACGTGGACGCCTACCTTGATGCTAAGCTAACAGCTAGCGGTGGTAGTAGTGACACTCGTATCTCTTATTACACCGCCGGGCTGTTAGCCAGGCATGCTAATCCCGCTGCAGGCTAATCTGATTATCCCGACGGTCTGCTGAGTGAGACGTGTAGCTCAGCTAAAGACGGGATTAGGTTATCGGCCTGCGTTCATCGGTCCTGCTTCACTTTATTTAAAGGTGGAGTCTGTGTTGATTTGCTATGCAGCGTTTAAGAGACAAAAAGATCATTTAGTGTCTGCGAATATATTACTTAGTTTACGAAGTGTGTGGGAAAATAAACTGGTCCATCTAAACAGCTTTTATTGTTAGATTTTTATCAATCAGTCGGAACTAAATGATGGGTCGTGTTTATCGGCCCTGAAACGTTCTGCATCTCTGCTTGATTCAGCATTGAACACTGGAGGTTTGTGTGAATCTGCTGCAGGTCTATAAATCTGATCACTACCGACACCCCCTCAGTGTGCGCGTGCGTTTAATGGCATGCATGTGTGTGCTGTGGGGGTTCTGCAGTAATCCTGTGGGGTGTAATCTCATTAAGGTTCAAGGATCTGAGTTTGCGTGTCCTGTGGGTGCTGGCTGGTTACCATGGGTGCCAGGACAACACAGGTTAACACCTTGTGTGTGTGTTTAATGGTGTGTGTGTGCTAGTGGTCGACCGATACGGGTTTTTCAATAGCCGATATATATAGTGCAGTATTTCCCCTACCGTTGTTGTTTTTTGGGGGAAGGTGTCCTCCCCTCCAAAACAGCTCGCCACCGACACTGAAGGAATGATGTGTGTATATCGCTCTGTCGTGAGAGATGGGTCGGTGACGTGACGCCTACATTTTGTGTCCAACTGGATTGTTTTCACACAAAAAAGGTTGAAAGCATAAAAGCATATACATACAGGACCTCTCCCATATATGTACTTACCTTTAACTTTAAAAAAACTTTAGCTGTTTGTAATTTTTCTGATAAAGTGTCAAGATGTCATGCGGTGCGACCGTCCGGCCATGACTGCTGTTTTGAAAACTTCTTTGAAATTACTTTAAATCTATTCAAAATTGTGTTTGGCCCTATTTGGTGTGATTTCTTTAGTCCTCTTCTAAATTGCAAAGCATCTGTATTTATATTTCCATAATACACAAGCAAACTTTGTCCGATAATGTCCATTTTATGAAATATCATGCGGTGCGACCATCAACAAACGACCACCATTCGAAGACAGGAAGTTGAATAATATACCAGTTTGCTAAGGACCCATTGAAACAAACATTGAAGGTTTTAAACTCTCTCTCAAATCTGGAAAAATTTTAAATTGTAACACTTGGTATGTAGTTGCCACTTTTGGATATCATGTGACCTCAGAAAAACAATGAATATAAAGTTATTTCTACCTATATTTGTTATTATAAATTTCATGGAGTCCTTTTGTAGGAAGCTAGCTTGTTTTGTTTAGGTGGCCTATTCTCTGCCTGTAAATTTTGAAAAGTTTCCATGATTGGCAATTTAGTTTTTGTCCTTTATTTTCAATTTATGACTATTACATATAAAATACTTTTATTGTAGTATAATTTGGAATAGATTTTTCTGCAATTTGACACAACTTTTCTTACATGCATATTAGTAATATGTAGTTAATTGTAACTGTTTTACCAGATGCCACTCCCAAGTAAAGAACATGTTGGCGTAGGAGCCCGTCCTCACTTGATTTATTATGCTGCTTTACGACCCATGTTTACGTTTTTAATGACCTCTGTTGGCCGAGTCAAAGCCAGGACTTTCACACAGGAGAACCGCGTTCGATTCCCCTGTGAAATCAAGTAAATTTAGAGTTATTTTCAGTTTGATGCCAACTTTAGTCCTAACAAAATGTAGCAAAGCATTTATTTCAACAGAAATGTTGGTGCCTTGAACATCCTGTTGCGTACGTCATCCACTGGACTTCACTGTCTTGTAAATGTGGCTGCTGATTGGGTAACGCCTCTGACACACCCAGTAAATGAGAAAAAACATACTTGCAGTTAATGAAATTAGATTACATATATTGTCAAGTTATGTGAATGTGTACTGCACTAAAATAAATGTTTGTAATGAGATTTTCATCAAAAAAATGTTTGTGTACATGAAAAATCTTTAAAATTTGAATAATGATATCTGGTAAAGTTTTATTGATCTCTTTAGTGTTCATGTCATGTGGTGCGACCAGTAATAACAATAACTGTATTAAATTAAAAATAAAATATCTCAGAGAGAATATTAGGCGTTCCCTCTCTGTGTTGGTGTTTCAGCGAGGGCGGGCGGTCAGACGTTTCAGAGAGGAGACACGCCACTTTAACAATCCTTAATACAACTCCATAGCGAAAGCCTGTAACGCCAAAGATGGCTCGTCTGACAGCCACGACGGGGAACATGTTTCACTGCTACTACGCATATGTAGTAGAAGTACAACCTGTAGGGTAAAAACGCTTTTTAAGCAGTAGTTTAAGGGCAAACTCATCAAGCTGTTAGAGATTTTACTGCTGATTATATACATGCAGGTTTTATGTCCCGATGACCAGTGAAAGTGCAGTTATGGTTCTCCGCCCATTCGTTTAGAGAGAGCGCAAGTATAAATACATGGCTACGTGCGTAGCCTATGGCGTGGCTACGTGCGTAGCCTATGGCGTAGCTACGCACGTAGACCCGACGCAGAGGTATAAATTGCGCTTGAGTGCTAAATAAGGAATTAAATCAAACATTTATTGAACACTCGTTATTTAGGAAAATTATATAATTTATTGCTCAGCCCTAATGCATCTCGTGTCCACATGGGAACGCTGCTTGAGGGACTTGGTTTTAGGGTTCAGGTCAGAGATGGGGACTCGAGTTTTAGACTCGGACTCGAGTCAGACTTGAGTCGCACACACAGTGACTTCAGACTCGGCTCGGACGAGCGTTCGTTTACTCGCCAACCTTGTGGCGGTCGATTAACGGAATCATTTACGTCCCGCTGGCTGCCGTCACGTTAATTATTACCGTCGGCTGCAAACAGGTTACAGGTTTATTGTTGATGTAAAGTTACAGTTTAATTTGGTTATAACGTTACACTGGGTTTGAGAGTCTGGGGGACGTGTTGGCTTACAGTAGTTTATAAGCTGTGACTAGCAGCAGTGCACATTACATGGTTGTGCTCTGTGAAAAGCAGGTTACAGGTTTATTGTTAATGTAAAGTAACAGTTTAATTTGGTTATAACGTTACACAGGGTTTGTTGACTTACAGGAGTTTAAGAGCTTATAATAAGTCATTAGTTGTAGACACATTGTACATTAGACTGTGTGGTTGTGCTCTGTGAAAAGCAGGTTACAGTTACAGAATCCCTTATAGCTCTGCAGTTTTATAACATTCATTGTAACCACGAGAGACTTGAGTTTGAATCCGAGCTCAGACTTGTGAGCATCTCTGGTTCAGGTTAGAATCAAGTTAAGGTTAGGAGCCATTATGTCATTGAGATGTCCCCAGGGGGAGAGAAGAGCAAACATGTGTGTTAATGATGTCGGGACACAACAGAAGTTCGTCACTGTTCCTCTTGAGTGCAGTTGTAGGTAGAAGTAATGGTTGTAGTTATTTATAGAGGCTCTGCGGAGCTTTGGCATCAGCAGGGAGCGCGAACAGCTGGAAAAACATCAACACCAGGACGCCCTGCAGGCTGCTTTCACTCCGGCTGAGCTGCGACCAGTTCTGCATACGTTGGATGTTTGGTTCTTTGAATTGAATTTAAATTAATCTGGAACCTTTGTCAGAGCAGCAAGTCTTGGAAGCTGAGACCTGAAAGGAGCAGATTATTGACGGTTCGCTGCACCAGGGCGATTTAGGGTGAAGTGGTTTACAGACATAAATCTCTGGCTTTCTTTAGATTTATAAAGAGGGTTGATGATAAGAAACTAAATGTTCATAATGAGGAGTTACCTTTACTTAGACACGATAAAATAATAATAATAACAGTGTTTCCCACACACAGGCTTTACTTGGGCGGGCCGCCCAGGTAGATTAACAGCCGCCCAAGTAAATTTGGTGACCCATTGTAAAATTGTTCTTGTGCTCACCCTCTCCTCCTCCTCTGCAGACTATGGATCAGAGGGTTGGGTTATTCGTTCTTCTGGCAGCAGGCCTCCTCTGCCTCAGCTTGGCCCCCGTCTCTCAGGCCGAGGACCTGGTTGAGGACAGTCTGGGCGACGACGTGGACGTGGAGGACGAGCTGGATCTGGGTTTGGCCGGAGCTGACGAGGACGAGCTGGAGGGGGACGCCCAAGATGAAGCGCCACCTGCACCCAAAACTCCTGCTGCACCCAAGGTAAGAATATCTTATTTTATGGAAATGGTTCTACTGTGTCTGATTCTGTCACCAACACTTCTTCTTCTGCCTGTTCGTGTGCAGGTGACCTACAAGGCTCCAGAGCCGATGGGGGAACATTTCATCGCTGAGTCTTTTGACCGGGGGACGCTTGACGGGTGAGCACAGAGGTTCTCAGTCTGCGCTCCTGAAACGCCCGAACATCTAAAGATGAGAACGGTCCAAATGACTGGAAATTGGTGCTGATCGATTTTGGGATGATAATCTAATTGCGATTTAAAAAAAATTTTTTAGAACGAATATTGCGATTTTAAAATGCAATAAATTTTTAAGCTACTTTAACTGTATTATTGCAAATGGAGAGAGGGAGAGAGAGAGAGAGAGGGAGAGAGAGAGCTCTATATCTCTCTGCTTGTCCATTTGCAATAATACGTAGTAGTAATACCTCAGTGTATAGTCTAACCAACATGATATTAACTAGATTAAACATGCATTGTTCTTTCTTGTAGGCCAGGCCTGTGTTACGAAATATTGAATTAATCAGGCAAAATATTATGATCAATGGAGAAGTATCAACCTTTAATAATATGAGAGATAATTTGAGTCATGGCATTAAATAATATGATATAATATCATCAGGTCGGCCTACAGACCGCAAGACAAAGTTCACCACAGTGTGTGTGTTATACAGTAAGCGCTCAATGCGGAACCCACAGTTCAACCAGCTATTAGTGCGTCCTGATCTCAGTTCAGATCTCCCAGGAGTCCATCTTTCTGTGTCCCAGTAAGCAAAAAAACAACTCAGTTTGAGGTTCAATTCAAAAGTTGGCCACCGAAAATAAAAACACAGTGACGCCTCTCGTGTTTAATAGACAAGCTCAGTAATTCTCCGACAACACTGGAGCCCTTTTATCACATTGCGATAATATCGCACATGCAGTTAATCGTTCAGCCCTGGTGGAAATGGTTCCATCCCGCCTGTTTTGTTAAGAACACTTAGGAGGCTCAAGCCAAGTATCCCAGCATGCATTTTTCTCACAGCAACACTCAAAGCTCTGTTTTTAGGCGTGTTTAGATTTTGATTATGTGGTCGATTATTTAATCTAAAGTGTTTTTTGGAGACCTGTTAGCTTGGATCAGCTGTGTTGGTAACTGAACTCCCTGTCTGTTGCTTTCAGCTGGGTGCTGTCCAGCGCCAAGAAGGAGGACACCGATGAAGACATCGCAAAGTATGACGGTAGGTGCAGGTCGCAGAATATAAACGCCTGAGGTGGGTAACGGCGGCTCCTTTCCTTGTTGATGGTGCCTGATGATGTTAACAGGTAAATGGGCGGTGGAGGAGATGAAGGACAGTAAGCTGCCTGGTGATAAAGGTCTGGTCCTGAAGTCTCGAGCCAAACATCACGCCATCTCGGCCCAGCTGCTGCGACCTTTCACCTTCGACACCAAGCCCCTCATCGTCCAGTAAGAACCTTCCCTTTTACACTTCACGCTGTCCTCTGCGTTTTTTCTGTCGGGCCCTCTCATTGTTTGTTTCTGTGTTCAGGTACGAGGTGAACTTCCAGGCAGGGATCGACTGCGGCGGCGCCTACGTCAAGCTGCTGACCCAGACTCCTGACCTCAACCTGGTCGGTTTGGATCATTACGCACAAACACACACACATCTGTACAGGCTGTGATTACTGTGCTCACTGCTGTGATGCTCACCTATATGAAGTCCTCAGAGTACAGAGACTGCGGTCAGCTGGTGTTTTGTTCTGTGGCGCTGCAGTGTTGTTAACAGAGGAGCTGCAGAGCGCCCTCTGGTGGGCAAACCATGCGACCCTCACGACCTGAGGGAAGGATCCGACTCTGTTTCTCTTTTTTAACCTGTATCAGCTGTTATAAACGCAGCTACAGATGGAGTTTAAAAATAAAGTATTTGTAGTTAAAATTAGCTCCACCTGAACCAGCTACAACATCAACAGTAATGATCGAACAGATCAAAATACTATTTCAGATAAATCAGTATCCATGTTTATAAGGGTGGTGGTGGCGCATAGATAAGATGCCTGCCTTTGGTGTGGGAGACTCAATTATCAAAATTGGTTTTAAAAATCAGGTCAAGATGTTTGTGTTTGTGCAGGGTTTTAAAATGTGAGTTGGATGTGTTGAAGGAATTAAAAGTTGCAGAGGTGGAAGTGAGACTTTAAACTCCTTCAGAAACATGATGTAGTCTCTGTGTGTGTTTCCTCAGGACCACTTTGTGGATAAAACTCCGTACACCATCATGTTTGGACCCGACAAATGTGGAGAAGATTACAAGCTGCACTTCATCTTCAGACACAAAAACCCCAAAACAGGAGAGTACGAAGAGAAGCACGCCAAGAAACCCGACGCCGACCTGAGGACGTACTACACCGACAAGAAAACACACCTGTACACGCTAGGTAATGCATACCTGTAGGAGACGCTGGGTAACGCGCAGCTGGAGGACGCGCAGGGGGGTAACGCACAGCTGGAGGACGCGCAGGGGGGTAACGCACAGCTGGAGGACGCGCTGGGGGGTAACGCACAGCTGGAGGACGCGCTGGGGGGTAACGCACAGCTGGAGGACGCGCTGGGGGTAACGCACAGCTGGAGGACGCGCTGGGGGGTAACGCACAGCTGGAGGACGCGCAGGGGGGTAACGCACAGCTGGAGGACGCGCAGGGGGTAACGCACAGCTGGAGGACGCGCTGGGGGTAACGCACAGCTGGAGGACGCGCTGGGGGTAACGCACAGCTGGAGGACGCGCTGGGGGGTAACGCACAGCTGGAGGACGCGCTGGGGGGTAACGCGCATCTGGAGTAACAAAGCACTGGGGGGTAATGCGACGCTGGAGGACGCGCTGGGGGGTAACGCGACGCTGGAGTAACGAAGCGCTGGGGGGTAACGCGACGCTGGCAGAGACGCTGGTGGGGTAACGCGCAGCTGGAGGACGCGCTGGGGGGTAACGCGCAGCTGGAGGACGCGCTGGGGGGTAACGCGCAGCTGGAGGACGCGCTGGTGGGGTAACGCGCAGCTGGAGGACGCGCTGGTGGGGTAACGCGCAGCTGGAGGACGCGCTGGTGGGGTAACGCGCAGCTGGAGGACGCGCTGGTGGGGTAACGCGCAGCTGGAGGACGCGCTGGTGGGGTAACGCGCAGCTGGAGGACGCGCTGGTGGGGTAACGCGCAGCTGGAGGACGCGCTGGTGGGGTAACGCGCAGCTGGAGGACGCGCTGGTGGGGTAACGCGCAGCTGGAGGACGCGCTGGTGGGGTAACGCGACGCTGGAGGACGCGCTGGTGGGGTAACGCGACGCTGGAGGACGCGCTGGTGGGGTAACGCGCAGCTGGAGGACGCTGGTGGGGTAACGCGACGCTGGAGGACGCGCTGGTGGGGTAACGCGCAGCTGGAGGACGCGCTGGTGGGGTAACGCGACGCTGGAGGACGCGCTGGGGGGTAACGCGACGCTGGAGGACGCGCTGGGGGGTAACGCGCATCTGGAGTAACGAAGCGCTGGGGGGTAACGCGACGCTGGTGGAGACGCTGGTGGGGTAACGCGCATCTGGAGGACGCGCTGGGGGGTAACGCAACGCTGGGGGTAACGCGCATCTGGAGGACGCGCTGGTGGGGTAACGCAACGCTGGGGGGTAACGCGCAGCTGGAGGACGCTGGTGGGGTAACGCGCATCTGGAGGACGCGCTGGTGGGGTAACGCAACGCTGGGGGGTAACGCGCATCTGGAGGACGCGCAGCTGGAGGACGCTGGTGGGGTAACGCAACGCTGGGGGGTAACGCGCATCTGGAGGACGCGCAGCTGGAGGACGCTGGTGGGGTAACGCAACGCTGGGGGGTAACGCGCAGCTGGAGGACGCTGGTGGGGTAACGCGCATCTGGAGGACGCGCTGGTGGGGTAACGCGACGCTGGAGGAAGCGCTGGGGGGTAACGCGACGCTGGCGGAGACGCTGGTGGGGTAACGCGCATCTGGAGGACGCGCTGGGGGGTAACGCGCAGCTGGAGGACGCTGGTGGGGTAACGCGCATCTGGAGGACGCGCAGGGGTGGGGTAACGCGCAGCTGAAGGACGCGCGGGGGGGGGTAACGCGCAGCTGAAGGACGCGCTGGGGGGGGGTGACGCGCTGGGGGGGGTAACGCGCAGCTGTAGGACGCGCAGGGGGGTAACGCGACGCTGGAGTAACGAAGCACTGGGGGGTAACGCGACGCTGGAGGAGGCGCTGGGGGGGGTAACGCGCAGCTGAAGGACGCGCAGGGGGGTAACGCGCGCTGACAGTCCAGATGTGTAACTCCCCTCTGTGTCGCCCCCCAGTGGTGAACCCTGACAACACCTTCGAGGTGCTGGTGGATCAGACGTTGGTGAACAGCGGCAGCCTGCTGACAGACATGACCCCCCCTGTGAACCCCCCCGCTGAGATCGAGGACCCCGACGACCAGAAGCCAGAGGACTGGGACGAGAGGCCCAAGATCCAGGACCCCGCCGCCACCAAGCCCGAAGACTGGTCAGTACGCACGCCTGGTTTCCACGGAGACCGAGACGAGTCCAGCGTCGGCGAGAGCTTAGTAACCGCTCGTTTCCACCTGCGGTTTTTAGTCGACTAGTCAATAGTTAGAAAATAATATAAGATCTGTTTTCAGTTTACACGTGTTCAGATTAAATTCTCACATCTGAGAAGCTTTTTCATTAACAGATCATTAATTTGACGATTGAACGCTCGTCTGTCGTCCACTTGATCAATACGTGATGGAGACGGTGTCTTTTTTTTCTTTTTGAAAGCTCCACATCGGCGGCTTCTTTTTCTACACGATGGGATTAATTCGTGGGAATATTTAAAGTTTGTGTGAGAGAACGGGATTTAGGGGGTTGGGCTAATATAAAGCGACGCAGGAGCAGTCGTGTGTGTGTATTGATATAATAATGGGTTTTGGACTAAAGACTGTACTGGGTTGGATCGTCTGGACCTTTTTTGTAGGAATGTAATCCGCCGGTGGATTAGCTACGGCTTCACAGATAACGTTAAGTGGGTACCAGTAAGTTACTTCTACATTTTACTCTTTGGCTTTAATTCATTTGAATCGCGCTCAAATCAGCACTTTAATTTGTTGAGGAAGAGGGACTGAAAAAAAATACTTGTAACTGTGACACCAGCTATTAACAACCTGCTAACCTCGACAACCCCGCTGTATTCTAACGTTAACTTAGCTCTTCTTATTAGCTAGGCCCCTCACATGCTAGATAATAACTTCTTTAAGCTGGGTGTCCGACAGCGTTGTGTTGGACAGATTTGTGCAGCGGCGTTCATGAGGGAGAGAGACGAGCGAGAGGATGTGCTAGTATAATAATATTTGTTCATGTTTTGTGTTTCTGAAAAGAAGAATATGAGATTTAAAAATCAATAGTCGTCAGTATCGGTCTCTGCTGGAATCTGCGTACTTACATCTGTGTGTGTTTGCAGGGATGATGATGCTCCTGCTCAGATTCCAGATGAAGACGCAGTGAAACCCGACGGCTGGTTGGACGACGAGCCGGAGTACATCGGAGACCCCGACGCCGTCAAACCCGAAGACTGGTGAGTTGGAACACGATGAACCGTCGTATCAAAGGTCATTTTAATGAGTTAAATTAAACTCCAGACGCTCGTCTCTCTCGCTCAACCTCTGTACTTCTTGTCCATCAGGGACGAGGACATGGACGGCGAATGGGAGGCTCCTCAGGTCGCTAACCCCGCCTGCGAGACCGCCCCCGGCTGCGGCGCCTGGAAAAGGCCGATGATCGACAACCCCAACTACAAGGGCAAGTGGAAGCCCCCCATGATCGACAACCCCAACTACCAGGTACGCTCGTAAACCCGTCCCATGTTGTTGTGGGTGACGATCAGCTGGGCTCAGGGGGGTTTCTGACCCGGAGCACGTTTCTGTTCTCAGGGCGTCTGGAAGCCGAGGAAGATCCCCAACCCGGCGTTCTTCGAGGACCAGCACCCGTTCAGGATGACTCCGTTCAGCGCCATCGGGCTGGAGCTCTGGTCCATGACCTCAGACATCTTCTTTGACAACTTCTTCATCACAGACGACCGCAACGCCGCTGACCGCTGGGCCAACGACGGCTGGGGGCTGAAGAAGGCTGCAGAGGGCGCCGCTGAGGTGGGTGCAGGGAGGACAAGGGCTGGGTGCCGAATGAAACGATCTTGTGATGGACGACATTAACGAGACGCTTTTTGTAGATTAAAAATTCTATAAATTGAACAAAATATTAACGATTAAACCAGGGTGTCTTAAAAACTCTTAAAAGGTAATAAATCGGTTTTGCGAAAATGAAGGCCATTAAAAAGTCTTAATCGTCATTTAACCATATTTTGTAGATGTGTTTGTCAGTGTGCTAAAAGTGTGGCTGAACGTATTTATTATTATTAGGTTGCCATCTGCAGCGCGAGCGTTTCACTGTCATACACACTTAAATAGTACTTCCACCACGCCGATCTGATCTTTTTATGACGGCGTGAACAGGTCACATGGAATCTGATCTTTTCCCGTTCGGACTGGGGCCACGTCCACATGTGGTCCAAATCCGACACAGATCGGATCTTTTTAAACGCGACCTGAGTCTGGACTCTCAGGTCAGAATTGATGCGACAAAAAGCCATTATTATACATGTGGCTCTCTGCCTCGCTACCGTCTGCTCTGATTCCCTCTCTTACACCTGAAATCCACCGGACCGCCAGCTCTCTGCTGAGTTACCCGCATGCCGCCTGTCCGAGCGGACACAGTGGGGGGGGAGAGGGAGTTGTGGGGCAGATGTGTTGTACAGCGCTGAAAACTGTAATGAAAAGAACAGAAAGTTGTGAGCACTTGTCATAATTCTGGAGAAATGTGAGTTTCCCGCGACGTCCTGTTCTTCTTCTGCGCACGCGGGTCACTTTCAGTTCACACTGGAGTCTGATATGAGCCGCATTTAAACAACAGTGTGAAGCGTCAAACAAACAAATCGGATCTGGGGAAAAAATCAGAATTGAGCTTTAAGGCCTGCGGTCTGAACGCAGCTTCAGCCTTCAGCCTTTTATTGAAACACGTTCAACTTTTCATATCATCATATAAATGATATCAACAGTTCACTATTAACAATATACTTTGAATATGATTTTGTAATCCTGATACACTCATTTGTAGTAGCTCCTCCTCCAGATGTGCTCCTTCTAGCCGCCTCCTCCTGAGAGCAACATGTTCACCTTTTTCTGTTTTACATCTGTTTTACTAAAGTTATAAAAGTTTACACACAACCCTTTTAAAGGTGTTTTTCAGACTTAACCGGTTACAGATCAAAGTGGCGTGGCAGTCTTAAAGTATGCTGAAAAGGTCTTGAATTTTACTTCAGGAATCCTGTATTTACTCCGAAAAGTATACTTAAATATAAACTGGGGCTGAACGATTAATGTGCGATATTATCGCGATGTGATAAAACGAGATTTTCTAATCGCAAAGGCTGCGATTACGCTCTGGTCACATGACACCCAAGAGTAAAGCGGTCTGCAGACGGAGCATCAACTTTGCACGTTACGCTGCACCTTGCCTTGTTGTTGTACAACGGCCTTCAGCTTGACAGAAGCTGATGCTACAGAAACTTGAGTGTCACACAGGGAATGAAAGTAGCGCCCGCCACCCGCGGGTTACGTGGTCCAGGCCCAGTCCGTCCCGAGTTACAGCCGCTGACCAGCATCGGAGAATTGCTGAGCTTGTCTATTAAACACGAGAGGCGTCACTGTGTTTTATTTCCGGTGGCCAACTTTTGAATTGAACTTCAAACTGAGTTGTTTTATTGCTTACTGGGACACAGAAAGATGGACTCCTGGGAGATCTGAACTGAGATCAGGACGCACTAATAGCTGGTTGAACTGTGGGTTCTGCTGTATAACACTCTGTGTTTTTTGTCTTGTGGTCTGTAGGCCGACCTGATGATATATTATATATTATTTAATGCCTTTCCAAATTCTACACTTGGATACTTCTTCTCCACCATTGCTCATAATAATTCATGCATCACCTGACTTCATCATGACACAGACCTGGTGTATGTTTAATCTAGCTAATATCGTGTTGGTCAGACCGCTCACTGATTTACTGCTCGTCTGTTTGGAATAATACAGGCTTAAAAATTAATCTCAAATTAAATCGCAATATTGGTTATTTTCCAAAGTCGTTCAGCCCTAATATAAATATAAGTAAATACAAAACAGAACAAGTTGACTTCACAATAAATAAAACCTAAACCGCCTAAATATCAGTTCCAGTCCTGACAGCAAAGTCAAAGAAAGAGCTGCTTACTGTGGTTGGCGTGCTCTCCAGTGTCTCCAGGAGGTCCGTGATGCTGTGAGATGTCAGTCACTTACTTTCCTACCTGCGATTGACAGGTGGTGGTTGTTCCTGTTGGCCAGTGTGCGTTAACCTCGGTACAGAGGGGGTGAAGAGCGAGAGAAGTCGGCACGTGTAGATCGCTGTTGAGCCGGTGTTTGTTTCTGACGCCAGCGTCCGTTTGTTTTTTTTTTCAATTCATTACAATGGGAGCGTCTTTTTTTTTTCCCGGTCTCTGAGAGTTGAAAAGTGTTCAACTTCGGGTGAAATGCGGCGCTCGTCTGTCACTTTTTACCCGGCTGTCCAATCACAGTGCAGGAGGGGCGGGACAAACGCCACACCGAGCCGTCTCAGCCTTTTGAACTGCAAAATCTCATGAACCCACGGACGGCGAGCCCGTCCCCCCACTCCGAATGTTTCAGGCTTCATGCAGAGCCAGGACCTCTTTTTACATTCAGTAAAATTAAGTTGCCCACTTGCACCACCACGGAAATTATGTATCATAGCAACCAAAGCGTCTCGGGTAAAAAAATAAAAATAAAATAACCTTGCGCCTCCAAAGAGCACCCCATGGCTCCCAGCTAGGCGTTTTCAGGAGAGCAGGTGGCGTTTCCAGCTGGTAAAAAAACGCCTTTCATTGAGGGACGCTACAGTTGGGACTGCGGTGAACGGTGAGGACGCACGAGAAAATAGTTCAATAGAAACATTTAAGTGGTACCGAAATAAGGTACTGAAATGTGCCTTCTGTTTGGGTCCTGGTGGTACGGGGGTCATATTGGTACTCTGCAGTCTGAATGCAGCCAAAGTGACCCGAATCAGATGTTTTTACTCACATGTGATTGTTTATAACGGTGTGAACAGTTTGTGGAGTGTTTTTATTCAGGGCTGGGCGCGTTAACGTGGTGTTGCATTAATTAATTTTACGCCATTATTTTATTTTTAAAGTCCGTTGCTCTCTGGCTCTGAATACACATGCAGTCAGACCACAGGTCGGGGGGGCGCTGATCACCCAAACAAGCAGCAGAGGGCGGCTTCAGCAGACTGCCATGCAGCGTGTGGGAGAATAAGACGAGTAAACGGCGCTCTGCTGTAGCCTATTTAACTTAAGCTACGTAACTTCACCAGATAGATTAACTCAATTTAAAGAGACAAATTGTGGAAAATGGTCATTACAACTTTCCAGAGCCCAAAGTGACGTCTTCAAATTGCTCCTTTGGTCCAACCAACAGTTCAAAACCCAAAGACTGTTCATGTACCATCATAAAAGACAAAGAATAGCAGCGATTCCTCAATTTAATTTTTCCCATTTTTGCTTCACTGCAAAACTGTTTTCACATTTTAGCTTAAAAAATGGCTGAAACGATTAATTGATTATCGAGATAGTTGTCGATGAATTTTCTTTCGACCGACTAATCGTTGCAGCTCTACACAGCACAAGTATAAAGAGACATTCAGACCGTGCTGCCCTCGGCTATAAAACTTTCCATCCACATGTTTTTGTAAGAGTTTGCCGTGTTGTGTACTAGTTAATAATGTTGTTGTTTGTGTTTGCAGCCCGGTCTGGCAGCTCAGATGTTGAACGCTGCAGAGGAGCGTCCGTGGCTCTGGGTCGTCTACGTCCTCACCGTGGCTTTACCGCTCGTCCTCATCATCGTCTTCTGCTGCACCGGAAAGGTAACGCACACACTGAAGTGTTGGCGGGACAGATTTGTGTTCGTACCTCGAGGGAAATGAAGTGATGAGCTGACTGAAAGTTCAGGAGCTCCTGTACGTCACCTTCAGGGCTGACTTCCCAGTCTGGGTTCTGTGTGACTGTCCGCAGAGGTCTTCAGGATCAGCTCAGGGTCAGTTGAGTCTCACCAGCTTACAGGAAGAGTTTGACGAAGCCGGACGCCCGAACGGCCGCCGCCGCTGCCCCGCCGCCGCCGCCTCCCCGGGCCCGGTGACTGCTGCTGTTAGAGTAGCTTCATGCTTGTGTCTCTGTGCTGTGGTGCCGTAGCATAGTCTCGTCTCCAGGCCACAAATAAAAGAAAACCTTTATGCTACAGCTGCTTTCGTGTTTGTGAGAGTTTGGATAACGATCATTTAGATGTCGTGGGACAAAGTGAAAACGCTACGTCAAGTTAAGGTTCCAGCAGTTTGGTTACAGTTTGCATTGAAACATTTACTGTTCAGCAACCGACTCTGAGACGGTGACAAAACTAAAAATGAAGGCGACTAAATGTTGAGTGTTTTATTAATTCACAGCAAATTAACACGTTTCTCTAAATGGATTTGTGCACAAGTGAAATAAAACGAGTAGAAATCGCACGTTCGACCGTGATCTAAAGGACATGAAAACATGCACAAACGTCTTTAATCGTCGGCCGATGCATCATCCTGAATGACAGCAGCTGTAATCTCACAGCATTACTGACTAGCGTTAAACATAAATAGTTATTCTGTATAGAATAATGCAGCTGAATGACAAACTGAACTCTCCTTTAAACAGCAGCCGCGCTCTGAAACCTACAGCAGAACTCAAAGTATGTTTCTGTTTGATGCGTTAATAAAGCTTCATCTGAGAGAACACAGATAGCAGATTGTTCTCCGCAGGAATAATGGATCTTTGTTTTGATATCTGCATTATATGTCTGTGCGAGTTTTATCATCAGTTACGATTTTAGCTTCCAACAATTATGATAATCGAGTTAAAACGACAACACTGCCTTCATTTTGGCTTGTAATATAAAGCAGAGCAGCCGCCGGGCCACGTTTCACCAAATTGACTCTTCGCTAAGCCACGCCCCCCTTAGTTACTGTCGCTAAGTCCGACAAACTGTCACGGCGCTGCCACTCCCTGGAGAAGTTTTGCAGTGGCGTTGTGCTTTTGAAGGTTTTATTAGGATGTCAGACTCTAACAGACGGGAAAAATAAAGACAGAAGCTGAAGCCCACCGATCACAGAGGTGAACCACCGTATCCCCCGACAACTGAGACTAAAGACAACGATATAAAGGATCAACAGTGTTCCTGTGCAGCTGCTCAGCCTCTGTTCATTATTACAGTCATTAAAAAGCAGAACAGCAGGACTTTATTACGTTACATTCAGCAGGAAGTTAGCCAGCGTCAGCTAACTAACATTAGGAACGATCCACAGCCGACATGTTTCTGGATTTGTTTTAGTTTTTGAATAGAGAGAATAAATCGTCCTTCTCCTTTCAGCCTCTCTGGGTAGCTGCTGTAAATATTACAAGATCCTGCAGGAACAGCGTTTGACCAGATCTGAGAAAAATACAGCAGCAGAAAGCTCCTGTTGCATTAGAGTCAGTGCAGCGCAGCCGTGAAAGTGTCGGAGTTCTATACTGCGCTGTGATTGGCCAGCTGGGTATTTGGGGCGTGGCTTAGCAAAGGGAGCCGGTGTTTCGTGTCCAGACCCACAAAAAAGCCTCTGGGAGCGATGCCCTAAACTCAACAGGAAGTCAGTAATTTTTGGCGATTCACAGGTTACATAGTTCAACAAAATCTTCCTGGAGAATTAATCCGATCAACTTCAAACCTCAGATGCTGATTAATTGGGCACTGGCACCTATTTCCAGAAAAAACAAGGCCTAAAATAACAAATCCAGAATGAATCAGGAATAACTCCCCAACCGTCAGACCCAGATGCATCATTCTGGTCTCCTTTGAAAGGTCAGCAGCTGAGGAACATAAATCCTTTGTACATTAACACATTTATTTTACCATTACAGACTACATGGAGATTCAGTAAAGAAAAATCTGATGTTTTTAACCTCGCCTGGTAAAAGAAAAAAAACCAACTATATTTCAATGCAATAAACCATCATAAGGGATCTTTTAATGCACCTGAATATCTTCTAGTACACCTGGAATCCAACTGTAACCTTCACTGGGATGAAAATAAACAACAGTTATCATACGTTTTCAGAATATACCAGGCGAATGTCCATGTTTTGGCAATATTTACTGTTAAAATGTTCACTTTTATTGTAAGATATCTTAAACACTTTTTCTGTCCATACAACCGCGTTCCAAATAACAAAACATTGAAATATTGATAAAAACAAGAGTATTCATCAACATTCCTGTCACCGAAAGCCCCCCCCCTGCTTTACAGGCCTGTAGAGTGAGAAGGGAACGTCCCACGGCCACAAAAAGGCCAATAAGGCAGCTCGCAGGTATTGCACTATAATCAAGATGGTCAATGATTATGATGTTTACTGAGTCTCGTGTCTTTCAGATATCAGCTCTTCGGGGGGGAGAAGTTTTTTTTAAACTTTTATAGTTGTGTACGTGGCGTTGAAAAGGTCTGGAGAGGTTTTCAAACTAAACTGTTTTCCTGTTTGTCCTGCAGAAGAAGAGCCCAGCGACGCCGGCAGCAGAGTACAAGAAGACCGACGAAGCTCAGCCCGACGTGAAGGAGGAGGAGGAGGAGGAGGAGGTGGAAGAGGAGGAGGAAGAGGAGGCTGTAGAGGCAGAGAAGAGCAGTCCAGGTTGTTACCGCCTCTTTATTTCCCGTCTCTGCGGTCTCCTTCTTTCTGACTCTGTTGGTCTGACTGTTGTTCTTCCCTTTCAGCTGCAGAAGAGAAGAGCGATGGAGAAGAAAGTCCTGCAGAAAAAGAGGAAGCGGAGAAGGAGGAAGAGAAGGAGGCGACGGATGATGGCGAGGTGAGGAGATGATGTTTAGATGAGTGCAGTCTGACAATGCTGCGTTCAGTATAATTTACCAGCAGCCCGGGTGATCAGTTAGAGTCAAGATATCAGTAAGGATATTTTCTGATATCTACATCGCAGAATGGCAAATGTAAACAAACAGCGTTTCGAACTGTTACAAACACTAACGCTGAGTTATTGATCAGCTGCACTGACTCATTGTTTTTGTGCTTCCAGTCTAAAATGACAGCAAACAACAGTGATTTTTCAACACCTAGGCTCCCCTCCAAAAGTAAACACACGCAACCTTCACATGTTCTGTATGATTGTGGAAACCTGCTTTTTAGAGTGAAGGTTGGAAAAAAAGGATGCAAAAAGTTGGATTTTAAGCTGGTAGATTTAGATTTGCGAGGAGATGAAATCATAACCACGATGTGCCAGGATAGCGGCAGCATTAAGAACGCGTGTTCATTTGGCCGAAGTCACGTCTAATTGAAGTGACTGTGAATGTCGAGTTCTGCGTCAGTCGGGTTCCTCTGTTTTGGGGAACGGGCTTTGGATGGGAGCGCTGTGGTCTCGTGTTGTCTGTGAACCTCTCCTCTGTTCTGTCCCCCTGTAGAAGCTGGAGGACGACGTTCTGCGGAGATCCCCCAGGAACCGGGTCAGAAGGGACTGAAATCTCTGAATCCACAGCCCTGACCTCGACCCCTCCCTCCTTACCTCCCCCTCCTCTCCTTCCCTAAAACTCCTCCCTTCTCCTCCTCACGTCCTCCTCCTCTGCTCCGAGGCGACGACGCCTAAATGGAACCCGTGGAAGCAGCGAAGCCGACAGGAAACCAATCAAGCCCTCCGATATGGACGCCTGATGAAGATGATTCCAGTATGAACCGGACTGACTTAGTGTGATTAAAGGATTTTTGTTTTTTTGAAAGAGATTATCTAAAAAACCTTCCTGCATCATTCCTTAACAACACCTGAGCAGACTCGAACCCACGGGATCTACGCGTCCCGTCCGATCCACCGCCACCCTGAGCTAGCAAGTGCCCCGCCCCCCTACCAACAGCCTGCTAATTGGCCCACAGCAGCTCGCTAATTAGCCTCCTGACAGACACGCATGTTGCTATCACAATCTGACGTAGCATGATCCTGTTTGGGCGGCTAACAGACTTAGCTAATAACAAACCAACAGGATGCTAATGAGGCAGGATAACCATCAAAAAAACCAACTTATTAGCCTAGTGACAGGCAGAGTTTGGCTAGCAACAGTCTGATGTCGCCATCTTCCTGCTCGGGCTACCTACTGTCTGCTAATTAGCCAACTATCAGGGTGCTTATTAAGCTAACAGTAGTCTGGAAGTCACCAACCAAAAGTCTTGCCAGTTAGCTGCTAATTAGCCCACAAAGCTGAGTCATTAGGGAGTTTGTAAAATTATCCTATAAAATGGTGGTTGAATGAATCTACCAAAAGTGTTTTAGCTTGCTAATTAGCTCCTGAGCAACTAGGTAGTACATTTGGCTACTTGTACTACAGTGTTTTTAAAGTAGCATCAGTACTATCATCATACTTAAACCTACAAACAGTCTAATTAGCCTAACAGCGAGGGCTGCTAACAAGCCTGCAAATAATGCAGTCTACTTATCAACAACTAGCAAACATTAGCCTGCTAAAAAGCTAATTCACCTACTAACAGCTGATTCATTAGCCTTCAGCCAGCTAGCGTCGTAGAGTAGCCCACAAGGTAAAGGTGTGACGCAGCAGGCGACGAGTAGAGACAATGAAGTGGGAACACTCCAGCTGCCACCGTTTCTTCCTTTTTCATCTAATTCTGTCATTTTAAGTGTTTTTTGTTCTGAAGCTCCACGTTGGCACCACCACGAACACACAGCGCTCATGTTTTACTGTCCTGAAGGCGGCGGCGGGGGGGTCAGAGGTCAGCCTGAGCGGTACAGGTGAGCGACAGGTGTTTGTTACCTGGTTTCTGGCAGCAGCAGACTCCAAAGTCCAGTTTAAACCCATGTACCCCTCAGCACGAAAAGCTTGTATCTCCAGTTGTTGAGACAGGCTCGTGACACTTTGAGATACGAGGTTTTCACTCTCCTGTAGTCCCATTATATTTTCTGCGTGAGGTCGGTCCGAACAAACGCGACGGCGGCTCGTTAGCTCCTTTTGTCCCTGAGTTCAGTCTCCCAGGCAGAATTATGTTTTGATAAGCAAACTATTCTTGTTCCTTCCTGTTCACGTTCCTTCGCTCGATAAGACGAGCTGCTGTCGCCTTCGCTCGGACTTCAGACGTGTCGCGTCGGCAGGTGGACAGACACTCGGTCCCTCTTTCATCAAACCCCATATGAAAAGAAAAAGGCACTACGGGAAAAACTCAGGCGCTTAAACTCACACCTGTCCACCTGCGGCGCCGCCAAAACCTCCACCAATCAGACGCCGCCTTCCTCCTCCTCCTGCTGTAAATGGATCCTGAATGTCAGAGTTTCGCCCCATGTTTTTAAGAGACGGCACTTGTGTGAAATTCATTCGTGACTTTGGAAAAAATATCATTTGACAAAAACTCAACTCAAAGTCTGTCGACTAAACTCCAGAGCTTCCAGCTGCATCTCGTGGCGTTTAAATCTGTGACGAGAGATCAGCTGAGCAAACTTTAATCCTCTGATGAAGCCCGTGAGATGAGGGCGAAAGACAAAGTTTATTAAATGTATTTAACTTTAAATTAGTTTTGGCGGAGTCGTCTGCTGCTGCCTGGCCACTTCCTGTTGGGGGCGGCTGCGGGTCACATGACCTCAGGTACAGGCTGAGAAATGGCCGCCAGTCACGCCTGAAAGCAGTGTTGTGTTCCGTTTGTCCGTTCGTCCAGCTGTCGACCCAGAGGTACCTCAGCGATGTTGGCGACACCCTGAGCTTCCTTCTAGCGCCGCCGTCAGGACTTTGCACGCCATATTTCCTGTCCACTCGTGGTAAAACTCACGCAAGGAAGTCGTGATGATGAGAAATAATCCCACACATCTGTGAAGATGCGACCGTGGGTTCGGTGTCCTCATTGTTGTGTTCGTCATGAAATGGGATTGTTGACGCTGAAGAGACGAGCGCCGCTGTACAGTACGAGAGTTCATCGCCTTTTTAAGAAGTCGGTGTTGAAACATTCGTCCCGTCTTGTTCTCCTCGAAGTGACTGTTACGTGTTTGTCTTTTTGTCCTCGCTGTACCAAACTTCAGTTTTCCAGAACGTTTAAACAGCTGAAAATACGTCGTCTGTCAAAAAGTCTGTTTTAAATACAGGTGGCTCTTCTCACCTATCATGAGCGAGCTCTGCCGTGATTGGCCGCCACGTGTGATGAGTTTTAAAGAGTCTGTTTGTGGGTTCAGATTTCGGGGCCTCGAGGCGAACTGGGGGTGCCTGCCTCCATGTCAGGTGACCTTTTAACCTTATTTTTGCTCTTGGAGTGAAGTCGGGTTCAGGCTGCTTTGTTTGTGTTTTTTAGTCTTTGTTTTCCTCCTGTGCCGTCGCTCTAAAGCTGAAGAGTAAGAACACGACGCTTCAGGACACAGTGAACGTCTCGCTCGCCCTCCCTCCCTCCCGTTTTCCTTTTTAGTCTCAGATTATGTTCTTCTCCCTGAAGCTGCCTCGCTAACAGACTGTAGACTGAACACTGTACCTGCTGGTGAAACTTTACACGACTCTGTAACGCTGTACTTGTTTTTTTTTTGTTTTTTTGTTGACATTGTGTTTGAACTAAACCCTAAACTGTTGGCCCGGCCTGTTTCTGATGTGCACACTATGTAGAGAGGTGGACCTGCCGACGCGCCGCGCCAGGGTCCAGCTTCGAAATGAAATACTGTGATGACGGAGGCCGATGTGTGTGTGGACATGCAGTCAACGTTTGTTTTGATGAATAAAAAGGCCAAATGGAAACTGAAGACGACGCTGCAGCTTCTTATTAACGTGTTTTTCATTGAGTGTATTTGTTGGTGCGGACGTTTTAAAATCAGGGAGTTTTGCAGGTTAACTTCAGGTGGAAGAAGTATACATATTTACTTGAGTAAAAGTATCAGTACTGCTCTGTAAAATACTCTGGTGCAAGTTAAAGTCCTGCATTCACATAAGCAAAAGAAAAGTATCAACAGCTAAATGTATAAAAGTACTTGTCGGGCAGAATGGTGTCTGGCGAGTATTTCAACGTGATGGTACTTTGTACTTGTACGTTACATTAGTCTGACAGTGTAGGTGACGTGTCCCCACCACTTATATAAAATAGGCTACGAGCAGAAATGTTAACCAACCTAGGACTTAGGTTTGGGGAGGAGAGCTGGTCTGACGCCCTGGACTCGGTAGGGAAGGTTTTTCTTTGTACTGGACTCACTTCACAGGCTTCAGTGCCCCAACTTCTCAACATTGTCGACCCAAAAATCTCTCCCCTATGTATCGAATGCAAAACGGACATTGGCTCCTACTTTCGCTGGAAGTGTCCCCTCATCTCTACATTTTTGCGACGGGGTAGCAAGAGAACTTGGCAAGATTTTGAACAACAATATGAACAAGGAGCCCGGCCTGTTTTTTTTTTTTTTTTCCCCAGTGGATCTAGTCTAGGCCGCCACCTGCGCACCAGTGGAAAGGGAGCGACTGAATGCCGTCTTGAAGGGCAACGAAAGCCCCTCTGACAGGCTGTGGCAGCCCTTTCTTGACTACATCCCACTCACAGAAAAAGGTGTGGAACCCTCCTGGTGGCCCCTGGAGGGAAGACTGTTTAAGGCTGTTTCCCTTTGCGCTCCCACTGTCTTCATTCTTGTTTTTATTTTACTCCACATTTTAGATTATCTTGTCTGTGCTTATTCATGACGTGATGCTGTCCATTCTTCTTCTTTGTCTGTTCCTTTGGAAAATTCAATAAAACATTTATCAAAAAAGAAAAATGTTAACCAACAAATCAAGTTCATTTGCACAATAAGAAAACACGTAATGCAGTTTAAAATATAGAAGAAACAAATTGGTCAAAGAAAAGTAACTTAAGCGAACAAACAAGTTATCGGTAACTATATTACGGATTTTTACATTTTGAACACCACCTGAATTTTATTTTTTTCCCGGAACATTTTCACCATATATTGGTTCAGAAAATTTCTCTCGAATGAAGGAAATTAAGTGTTTAATGATCAAAATCTTCTGGGGGGGGCTCATATATCCTGTGAACCTAATATTGTGCATCTGACTGACTGAGTACATCAAACATGTGCAGAAAGACACGTTTCACATTGAAATACTTCATGTTCACACAAAGTACCTGCATCACTCTGTATAAGATTTTCTTCTCTATTATTAAAATACCTTTTACTGTCGCTCTGCTCATTGTTCCTCTCTGAAACATCTGATTAATATTCATGCATATGTTGTTTATTTTGCCTGATATGTCCTCCCTGAGGCCTATGTGACCTGCAAACTGAGTGTTGGCAGCTTAGTGCTCGATCAGACTGCAGCGATTACAGTATGTACAACACAAATACTCTACATGACCACATCCATCGTCACTGTTAAAGCATTTGATTAATCAGACCTTTATGTTGCAGCTCTGTAAAATACAGTACAGGCTGTTTTTTGTAGGATGTCTCTTCTTTGACCGCTGCATGAATTCAGGATAGATAATATGGAAATGATAAACTCTGTAAATGTTGGCTAATGTGAAAACTGTGTACTCTGTCTTTTGCAGTACTGTAACATAGGCTACTACTTTCTAAGGTGTTTCAAAACATGTATCTTGTATTGTTTGTTTTTTAAAACGACTGAAATGAAATCATTATGTTGTGTTTTGGTTTCATGAGAAACTTATTTTGAATCAATGGTTGTGTGCTGAGAGACTTTTACAGTCCAAATGAATGAAGGAGTTGTGAAGTTTACCTCATACAAAAACTGCGAAGGGAGTCCGACCTGCTCAGAGTGACTCAGGGTGACCAAACTGACCGCTACACTGGCGGTGGATCAGATGTTGCTTAGTCGAGTCGGTGCGCGTTCGCGTAAAAGGGGCAGTTTTTCCACAACGGCGCACGCTCCGTGTTTTCCCCAGAGGGACGCAGGTCGATACTGTGTGAGGACACGTTAACGGCTAAATCTAACACCGTGGCGGCCGACAGAGCCGGGGAGGCTTGTTGGCCTGATCATCTTCCCAGTGTTCTGACTGTAGCTCATGTATTTTATGTGTAATACGGTCCAGCTGCACAAACAGGAGCCGGCGGAGAGGGGGAATAATCCGAGACAGGATTAATCTACCAGGAAAGAACTCGGATATTCTCTGACATTATAGTCACACATTTATGAGAGAAACTTCACTTTGCAAGGCTGCAGCATCACACACACACACACACACACACACACACACACACGTCTGCATGCGGTTCGTCAGTTCAGCCCTCTAGATCCTCACGCACCTCAGAGACTTTGCTGTGGATTCAGGGAATTCCCGATTCTTCCTCTTGTAAATTTGACACTTTGATCTAGGATGTTTTTTTCTGGCTCAACAGTCTCTCTAAATATGTGGCGGTAGTTTGGTCAGATTTAGGCAACAAAACCACATCATTTAACTTAAACATGTCCACTTTGACTTTCTTCCACTCAGGACTTGAACTCGGTCTCCTGAGTTCCAGTCCTCCTGACTTTACTTGGTTCATCCATCCATCACCTTCTCTTTATTCTGCTTCACCTGACTTCTTCTGCCGCCGGAGGCCTGACAACAAACCCGAATATGGTCATAATAAGCTGCTGTATGATCCACCTGTACTGTCCAATAACTGTAACCAGTAAAACGGGAATAGTTACAACTAACTCGTGGATTTGTTATCTAATAAATAAGTATTAGTAGCCTTTAAACTGTGACTAGTAAACGATCTGCCTTCAAAACGCTGAGAACTACCACAGCTGCTAACCCGGAAGTGGGCGGGACTTTTAACTGATAGCCAATATTTGCTGTCAGTAAGTAAGAAGGCCTCCGTACTGATTGACCGCAGGGATTTGAGAATCGATCACCAACAATGAGAAACGCTGAACTTTAGTTAGTTATTTTAGTTGCCGGCTTCTCGTTCCTCATGATTCCCTGTCGCTGCGCATAACCGACCGTTGACTCACCGAGTTCTCCTCAAAGTGGCCGCTCGTCATTGGCTGTCTCTGCTGTCAATCACCGGTGAGGCGGGAGCAGGGACATTCCTCCTGTCGCTGATGGAAAAAAGAGAAAGTTTCCAAGATGGCGGAGGAGCGATGCCTGTCCGCTGGAAAACAATAGAAACAGCACAGAGGGACGGAGTCAGCCCGTTGTTACTCCCAATCCGTTCTCCGCTCTTAAAACCTTTAATATCCCGACTCGGGCTCGGCCAGGGGGAGGGTTATCTGCGCCGGCACCTCGGGGAAATATAAAGTATGATGCTTTATTTAAATGTTTCAGGCTAGCTAACCAGCCAGCTAGCCGTGCTACCGTTAGCCCGTGTACCCACAACATAGTGTTAGCAGCTAGCAGCTAGCGGCTAACGGCTACAAGGAGGCGGAGGATCAGCTGTTTGCTGGACAGATGCTGTAGGAACAGCGGACGGCAACACTTTCACAGTAAGTGAATTTAAACCTAACTAATCTTCATTTCTCTGGGAAGTCTTTTGTCTTGAGTATGTAATTGTAGCGTGGGGGTAAAATAATGTGCTCATTAGCTGAAGGAATTGTTGCCAAGTTTGTGAAGAAGGCAAGTTGTTAGCCAGCTAGCTCTTGCCACCGCTAACCAAGCTAACTACTTTAATACTTGAGCAAAATAAAGTTTCAGACAAGTTGTAGAGCCGCTATGATGCTCCCAGGGAGTGAAACACTCCTTTTAACAAATACATGGAAGTGAAGTCGTAAGCTATCGGGAGCTAGCTGCAAAATAAGGAGATTTTAAAGGCAGCTCGGGTAGTTTTTTTTTTTAAGGAATTTTCGACGCTCCAACTTTGATTTTTGAGTGGAGGAATGTGCTAACTTAGCTCCACGGGAGTTAGTGAGACAGCTCACGGGTTCATTGATTGACATAGACATGTAGTGTTAACGATTCAAAGAGTTTTCTAGAAAAGGCGAGCAGGGGCTTGGTTTGCTTTCATACCACATAAATCAGAGATTTGGGTTTTAATGTGGCGTTGAACTCGGGCGGAATGTGGCTCTAGCAAGAATACAGCATTTCTGTCTTACACACTGCTGTTGCATACAATGCGATTTATAGTATGTACACATATATATGGCTGTAAGTGAGTTAAATAAGGAGGCTGAATGGTATTGCACCCAAAAACCTTAATTTTCCTCTTCGGCAGTGAGTGCCGCTGTGACTGAAGGCCATTAGCAAGACAAAGGTCGCCTCCATGGAGCCAGCACAGGAGTCTTTGTAGAGGGCGAGGGGGGGTGGATAGACGCCCAGAGTGACAAAAAAAGAGCCAAATTCAGCATTTTATGGACGAACCCTGAGCCGGGAGTTTACTACAAGTCTTTATTGATGATGGCGGATTTTGTTACACCGCGACACAGCGCGGTGATGGAGAGGCTCCGCCGGAGGATCGAACTCTTCCGGCAGCATCACAACAGCTGCGAGAGCCGCTACGAGAACGCGACGCTGGAGCGACTGGAGCTGGAGAGGCAGCAGACCTTCGCCCTGCACCAGCGGTGCCTGCAGGCCAAAGCCAAGCGGTCCAACAAGCACCGGCAGCCCCAGTCCAGCGGCGACCAGGCCGGCCAGAGGGCGGCGGGCGGCGGCGGCGGCGGCGGCGCGGAGCTCGGGGAGAGCGGAGGGACGGCGGCGGAGCAGAGCCGGAACAGCACCCTGATAGCGGTGAGTGAGCACCGGACACCGGAGGTTAAAACACACACACATACAGGCGGGTGCAGCATGAAAACACAACCAGCAGAGACAGGCAGGGTTCACAGTAGGGCTGAGCAGTAAAACATCATGTCGATAACAATGGAACAAATATTAATTTAATTCGTTTGAAACTAAAACTTCGTTTTATATTAAGGTATTATTTTCAGGAGGAAAAGTTTCGTAGTGGGAATCTAACCCAGATCTCCCTCGCCAAAGACATGTCTTATCCACTGTAACATCACAACCCCACCTGTTTGGCAAGTGTTTGTCATGTTCTGGCCATCACAAAAAGTTTAAAACCACAACTGGTTTCGTCAACTCTCAGCTTTTAAACTTAAAAGAAATAAGGATTTGACATTTATCCAGATAGTTATCGATGTCAAATACTATGAATTTTTTAAATTGTGATAACATTTTTGGCGGTATAGCCCAGCCCTAGTTCAGAGTGGCAGTCTGAATCTCATATGTGGTCTTTACAGATTCAGATTGCTTTAATTAGTTTTGAACTAATGGTGGGAGTCACTCTCACAGTACAACCACAAAATATTTCTTATCATAATGTGGCACAGAGAATTGTGTGCTCTGACAAGTGTGGCAAGACGTTTGATTAACTCGTGTGATTACACCAGCAAAATCAGGAACCAGAGTGGTGAAAGGAAGCCTAGTCATTTTGAAGCTGTCCTTTTGCTTTATATTTTTACTCTTTAGCAGTTAGGGCTAATCGACCAGTTGTTGCAGATCTGTTTTGTAATGCAGAAAAGCAACTAGCACAAACCCTTTTGGCTCAATAACATTACATTTTCTCATTTGGGAGATGCTTTTATCTAAAGCGAGACATCTGTGAGCAGCAGCAATACTGTACAGCAACACCTCAAACTCTTTCAACCAAAACAAAAAACATGAATAACCTTCATGAAGGGAGGGTTTATCACAGGGCTGTTGGATTCACACACATTAGTTTTACCTATTGATACGACAACTGAGTGTTAATGTACTTAAATATACAGCAAATGAGAACTTGAAGATTACGTTTAATTTTGAATGCAAATCAGTTTACTTGGAGGTAGAGTTATGGAGAAAATTAATATCGGCATGGATAACGTGGGAACATGTGATCTCCTTCATCCCGTTAAGCCAGGTATTGTTTGAGTGTTTTTACTGGAGAAACAAATAAGATCTCAAAAATTCAGTTATGTGCAGTCTGTGACAGATTATATAACTCAAAGCGTACGCTACTAAAAAGCAGTAGAGAAATACTAGGTGTTGCGTCTTAACAGGTGAAGCGCAGTTTGGTCACGATACGTTTACACAGAGACTATAAATAACACAAGCACAGTTTTGGCTTGATTGAAAATACATCTGAATATTTGTCTTAATGGCACATGAAGAATTGTTCTGCCAGTTTGTGGTGTGTCTGAGGTGTTAAGATAAGTCAGTGTGGCTGTTAATTTGGATATACGCTGAGTTAATTTTACTCGTTTCCCG